CAGTGTATTGATATGATTACAGCATCTGAACTTTAGGCTGAAGAGTCATTTCAGTTTTAGATTGTGAGGACATTATTACTTGAAAAAGTAGAAAGGATAGGTGACTTTAAGTGGAGTGTCTCTCCCCAGAAATATCAGTGTCAACACTTGTCACTCAAACAATGAACTTTTGTTCCTTTGCATCTTAGAAGTTTTTTAAGTTTGAGAGCCTCTAATTAAAAGGAGGCAAACAACACCTTAATCTGCTATTAATTAATGCCTTAGATTTCAGTGGATATTCTGAGAAAGATTTAGCAGCCAAATTACAGCAATACTTTATGAAATCTTGGAACCTATACATGGGAGGTATCTGGAAGAGGGTAGATAGTTGCATATTTCTTTGAATATCTGTGAAACCAAGACAACCCTAAAAAAGGAGTACTGGCTTATAAAATGCCCATATGTGGTAATATTCTAATCTTAGAACTTGTCCATGTATGATAATTATCTGATTTTATTCTAAGGTGTTTATTATTTTAAATACTTAAAATAAAATTTTTTTAATTCCTTAAAATATTTAAAATAAAACTTAGAGAAGTGTTGTAGGGGACCCTCCTTGCCAAATTTTGAACAGTTTTGAATATGTAAGAGCAAACCCAATCATACGTAACCAAATATTTTGAGTGGCCAAAGTATTGAGTGATCTCCTCTATTTGGAGTTTAGCCCTTGCTTTCTGAGTTTCCTGTATATGCTAGGATTCATTTGCTGTAGTCAAAAAAAGAGATTACTTATAATTAGACAAATATATTGCAATTTTTTTCTTATTTGTACTTGGATTTGTCCCAAGAATTCCTGGACTATAGGCTGTTGAAGAAAAAAAGTTAAAACGTGAATAAGTTGATATAAATTAAAATTAAATAGGTAAAACAGAAAGAATGAAGATTTAAATCATATACTAAAGATTATCTGAAGTTTTGGTTTTGATTTTTTATATCCCTTCATTATCTAAAATGGTCAAGAATAAAGGAAATAAAGAGATCCCACGGCAAAAGAGGTAAGATTTTTTTTTTTTCAGAATGAGATTTCAGAATTTTTTGACAATATTTTTCTCAGAACACCACAAGTTGTCATGATTTATAGTTGAAAGCTGTACTACAGAGACTTCTCATTTTGGAGTGAAGTCTTCTTGGATCATGATTATTAATATTACTGCTACTGGTGAAATAAATGAGTCTTCAGATGACACAGTTTTCATATTGAACATGCATGAAAGTAACCCTAATTTCCAATGGCAAATAAACAATCGGGGCTCCCAAGAGTTGCATTTATTCCTTGTTCACATTGGGATATTTTCTGACTCATTGAATTCAGCATTTACATTGCATTCCTACTATGTAAAAGCACACTGGCAAATATTGATTGAGTGAATGCATTCAAAGTTTCTTTATCTCTGATATCAAGTAATTTCCATTAAAAGGGTAAATTTTTCTGTCCATTGTGTTTTATTAGACAATGTACTCTGTTAATTTTTTCCCATTAGTTTCTCAGCTTACTGAAATGTTTAGGATTTTCTGCTAGAATATCAGGGTATCTGTTGATGGCTATCTCTGTGCATTCACTGTTTTCTTGGTTTACTACAGTCTAGAAATAGAAGTATGTTTAACTTACTGTCGTGTACATTCTGTCCTTACAGATTATTTTGTCAAGTGCTTTCTCCAGCCAAATTTAAATGGTTTCTAAAATATGGCTTTGATCACAGCCCTTAGAAGAGAAATATGTGCTACATTATGGCCCATGTATCTTATAAATAGGAAAGACTCCTGGATGGGCATCATGGAGTTTTCTCAGTTCAGATTTCTTTTACTGCTTCAAAACATATCAACTTACTCTATCTTGAACAGTCATTTTCCTTCTAGGCAATAAATATGTTCCAAATACTTCATCCTAATCTTATTTTCCAAAGGCAAGCTTTCTTAATTCAGACTTTTAATCTTTCCTTTCAATGTCAATGCTATATCTTGTTTTATTACTTTTCTTTGAATGCCTTCATCTGTGCAGATGCCTTGCTGATAATGAACTTGACTGGAACTCTGGCTAGAAGTTCTGTCAAATCTGTATGACGTGTCTCTTGACCTCTTTCATCCATTTTCCTTGGCAAGTCTATTTTGCAACTGAGAGACAATGTCCTGGAGAGGATCCAGTCATTATCATCTTCTAAAAATCACAGACTCTTTTCAACCCTAATTTCTATACTTGAGACACTACCATAAACAAAATCAAAGCATGATCTCTTTATATAGGAACTCCCAATTCAAATCAGCTGCTATCAACATTTATTGGAGCCTCTCTTATTGAGGTGCTTCTCTTCAGTAGTAACATTGTGGTCAAGTTGCATGACAACTTCCTAATCTTGTTTTCCATGATGAATTTGTAAGTGAATCTACAGATTATTCTTTTGGAATGAAGAGGTTATTCCACTTGTCTCTTCTTAATCATTTGTACTAAATTAAGTTGGTTTTGTTATTCCCAAAAAAACATTTAAAATCATTTCCTACATCTCTATTCAGAAAAACATTACAAGTGTGGTTGTAGTTATGATGACCCTTGACTATTAAAATTTACAATTACTTCATATCTTCTCTTGAAGGGCTACTCATCTGTTTATGTGTTATTAGAGTAAGTTTGCAGCAAATCCTTTGTTATAGTAAGACTTAGTTTTTATAAACAATGTCAAGAGGTTATATCCTAAGAAGACTTGGAAATTGAACCTGACATTGCATCCTGTGTCAAAGCAAGTTATCTTATTTTAACTAATACTATCACTAAAGGCATTATTGCATTCACTCACACTACATTCACCTAAAAGGTCAGCACAGTTTATTACTTGGCATCCTTTTGATGCAGCCTGGTTTTGCATTGGGTTCCTGAAATCATATTTCATTCCCAAATAGACAATAAGTAATTAATGAGGAATACTAACGGACTGTGACCTAAGTTCAGTTTGTTCCATATTTTGTTCTTGTGTTTTAATGTTGGGAGAAGTTTAACTTCTTTATTAAGTAATCAGAAATCTTAAGATATTTGTTGGAAGAATGGACAATTGCTTTACTAACCTTAATGACCTTTAATTTTTTATGACATCTGAGATAAACTCAAATTTCTAAATAATCATTTTTGAAACAGAAATAATGATAAATGGTTAACATATTTCATACAATGGAAGAATAAGGAGATGCCTGTTTTCTAAAACCAATGGGACTTTTATAATTTTTTTAAAAAGCAAGGATAAGCCAACTAGTCAATGCTCATAGGGCCATTAATAGCAAAATCCCATAAATTAATGCTGTTATATGCAGAATTTGAATTTAGACTTAAAAATTATAGAAAATATTAGTACAAAAATTATTAAAACTTTTAAAAGAAAACAGAAATACAGTAAGGAAAATATGTAGACTATCATTGCTTTCTTTAATAAGTACAGAAACATTACAAACAGGAAAAACAGCCTTTTTTCCTTTTTACAAGTTTGATATTATATCCTTTTGTTTTGTCATTAATTCTTTAAAAAAATACTCTTTAGATGTCTTTAACATTTACTTTGAAGTAGAAGATTATTGATTGCTAAATCAATAATCAGATTGAATTTAGTAGCTTCTGTGTTTCAAACTACTACCTAGACTGATAATTTTTCTTAATTTTAAATTGTGAATATTGCAATACATTTATTCATTTAGTAAGCTAAGAACAATAGAACTAGATATAGAAATATGCTGGTTTAAACATAAAATTTTCCCAAATTTGGAATTTTGTTTATCTGCTTATGGAAATAGGCTTTGGGTTTTACCCATTAGTGGTGCCACAAATTGCAAGCTATTATTTTAAATCTTACTTTTGCTCAAATATTTTCTGTGGAAAGAGATGGTTTACTTTTCCTATATTGCACTAAGCAGATGAAGCTCTGCCTTCTTTGTGGTTTCAGGACCTGCTTGCTCTTCAATATCACCCATTACATTTGCCACGTTAGCTACTTTGCAATTTAGTGTTTCATAATTTTTAACTTATAAATCTCCATTTGGGATGTTTAAATATCTTTTCACATCATGTCTGATTTAGCTTAATGAACTGGACTCAGACATTAAACAGAACATTCATAGACAATAGAACAATAGCAGAATTACTTATGTGAAAAAAATTTGGTGAGGTAGTTAGTATTGCTGGATTGCATAAACTTGACCTCTGAGAGTGAAAATGCTATAGAAATCTTGCCATTTGTATTTTGCTACAGTTTTTCAGATGGGCTTTAACTATCCCATTTAGATATGTAGTATAATTGGTACCTACAGAAAAAAAGCTTATAGACATTGTTAGTAAGAATTTACTTTGAGAAGATCTCTTAAGAATGCATTCTAAAAGTAGAAATAGGCCTTGGTTTTTGGCTTATCTTTTCACCATTGGGTACAAAAAGGAACAGTAAAAAGAATTGCAGTTCTATCAAGAATGAATGTATACCAATAAAAGAGGTAAGTATCCCTTTAGTACTGTGTACTAGTTGGATGTGCAGAGGCCGAGAGCTTGACAAGGGTCACACAGCAGGGCGATGGAACCTCCAAGAAAGGCATCTGGGATTTCCCCCATATTATTCCAGGCTTTAAGAGCTGCAGCCCTTGCTTTCTCTCTTGGCGATGTTCACTGCTTTAAATAGGGTATTCATCCCCTTTGAGTCCCATTATAATTGTCCCTTATGGTGCCTGACAAGGCAGGGTGCATCTTCATCCTCCTCCTAGATGGTCAATTTATCTGTTCAAGACCCATAGAGGAATCCAAATGACTGGGCTGCTTAATGTCAAGAAGGCCCACACATATCTCTTTCAGCACCTAATTCCTTCATTTGCCTCTTTCTCCCAGTTAGTTACCCATTCCCTCTTCCACTATCCCTAATCCCTTCCCAAATAGAGTACGGGGTTTTTTTTTCTCTTGCTCTCTCTCTCATTCTCTCTTTTCTGTATCTCTCGGAAATCAGACAGGAGTTCAGAGCACTTTCACTACCTTTTATGAGGTAGATTGTGATGTCATAGATGGGGGCAGGGCTAGTCAACTTTCTACCCACCTCCCAACCTGTGCTGAGGGAGCTCCGATCGGGAGTGGAAGCAGTGATTCCTCCATGGTGAGTAACTTCACTTTCTAATCTAATGTCTCACACTGTAATCATTAATTCTGAAAAATTGGGGGTGGGGTTTCAGGGAAGTGAAGATATGCCCAATCAAGTCCTCTTTATTTACTGTTAATCAACTTTGGGCAAAGGACCTATTTACTTGTTCATTATAAGGGTGAGGAATTCCACAGCACTGATACACTCTTCAATTTAGATCTAAACTTGAGAAGTGAAAATGGTATTTTCATTCCTTTCTCAGTCTTTCTTTCCATTGGGACTGAAAGTCATTGCATATGTGGAATGAATCCATTCTATAGTCTTTGTGAACTTCTCTTAGGAAAGTTAGTCAGGGGGTGTACTCTTCTTTGGAAGATTTTATGATCATAAAATATCCTCTATTGAGATTTTCCCAGAGAATCATTCAGTTCTTCTAAAATTGTAGGGGTAAAATGTGAGGAAAGTGATACATTAGGATTATCGGTAAACTTGGTTTTGGTGTAAACAAATGAAAGCTTGCTAATTGCAATAACAAAAATGTCCATTTTGTGATTTACCTACATTTGAAAAAAAAAAAAGTCATGGTACCTGCAAGTTTAAGGGGACTGTCATTTCAAGGTGCCACAACCAAATCTGCTACATTTTGTTGTTGTTGTATGTCATAACACCGATGCTGTTTTGTAGAGTCTCTTGGTAGTTAAGAGGTGTGAAAAGCTGCTGTTCTTTGTTCCCATTTGGGTTTCTATTACTGATTAATTCTTTTATATGCCTTGCTATTTAGAAAGAAAGATAATCTGTAGTGAGCATTTTTCTCTGCTTCCTTTCTTGTTCTCTCCTGGGTATCTATTAAAACTATCAAGATATATGCCTTTGTATAAAAGGGCAAAGGAAGTTCATAGAATTTTTGAGCAATGTTGAAGAAGTAACAGGGTTTATGTTTTCAAAAGGATTTGGCCATTAGAATATGAGGCCATTTGGCTCTTTTTTGGGGTGAGATGAACACATTTTGGTATGGATCACAGGTATTATGAAATAAATTAAGAGTATGTCATTCAGGTTTTTCAAAGTATACACCCCTAAATAGCCATGTATCAACATTGGTGTTGGAGAACTGTTTTGAGTAGATCTGTCTTCCTTATACCCCAAATTATATACAAATTATATACAAAAAAGCACTAAAGTGGATATCCTGAGGCTGGGGACAGTGTGAAGCAGTTCTGAAAGTATTTTCCCACCTAAGCTTCCTAACCTAAACAATTGATTATAATTGTAAAGATTTTATGCCTGATTAGGGGAAATAGGGCCATATACACTAGTAGGAAGATTTGGGTGACAATTACTAACATTCAATTTAATATTGCAATGTGGGCAGCTAGAATGTCTTATATGTTGGGTTATCCCTCTCAAGTCTCTGATCTATTTTTCATTAAAAGTATTATGCCCCTGAAACCCAGGTAGAAGCAAACCTTCAGTGCTAGAAAGATCTGATGTCTAATCATAGCTCAAGTTTTTAATGTCTTTTATCAACCCCTCAGACAGCTGCCAGGTAAGAAAAGCTCATATTTTACTAACTCTTGGGACACAATCATCTTTGAACTTTGTGAGTTAAGAATGGTTGTGTTGTGCACTTGTGCAAATTCAGAGGGTCTATCATGGAATGCATTGTGCATGCACTTGTTTACCTTCATGTGCATGTTTCATTTATAGTGGTGTTCAGTGTTTTTTTATCTTATATGTATTAAGATTATAATTTAAAAATATATTCATATATTATACTCTAAAGGAGACTGTAAAGTATAACAGAAATTGCATTAATTTTGGGGTCTGAGCATTGGTATGCCAATCCTCTCTCTGTCATGACTAGTTATGTAACTCAAAGTAAACTATTCAGATCTTCTGGGCCTCAGTTTTTCTCATCAGTAAAATGATGGCAGCCGGATGCCAATGGCTCATGCCTGTAATCCTAGCTACTCAGGTGGCAGAGATCAAGATCATGGTTCAAAGCCAGCCTGGGTAAATAGTTTGTGAGACCCTATCTCAAAAGTACCTTACATAAAAAGGGCTTGTGGAGTGGCTCAAGATGTAGGCCCTGAGTTTAAGCCCCAGTACTGAAAAAAAAAAAAAGTGATGGCAGATGTTCTTAAGGTATATCCTAATATATCCCTATTTTAAAATCCTATAGTTTTATGATATATGTTTAAAGAAATTGAATATGGAAAAGGATCAAACAGTTGGTGACATATAGCTTTTATATTGGACATATATTCAATCCAGAAAAATATCACTTCAGTCTGAACTAAGTTTTAAAAACTACTCTCTAGCTGATGTGAGTAGTCCATGTTCTTTTAAGTGAATAATATCATTTCATTAACTTGCTAAATATAACCCACTTGACAGTTATGTATGACTTGACATCTGAAGATAGAATCCATGAATTGTTGTCCTAGAAGACTGATTTTGTTTTGCCCTCCATACTTCTAGGTTTCTACTAGCTAAAGATAAGGTTGTTCTCATCAAGGGCTCCAAAATTCAAAGTTACTTATGCAGTATTGCAGAAATGTCCATGTGGTATTTGAATGTTGATTGGTAGGGAATTGATAGATATTGTGCTATGGGGGATAAAAGAAGTATATTCTGCCTGGCTCTTGTCACTGGGAATATGCAACCTCTTTGGGAGTCTAGATACATGCCATGTGAAAACAGTAAGTGCTCAAATAACTATGAAATAACACTGTGATCCAGTGGGCTAAAGACTTGGTTCAGAGCACCCAATGAAATGTCTTAATTTCCAGAAATCACTTTCAGAGACTAAACTTTCTATATAAGAACAACAAAGTTATATGATCAAAGCATAAGAGGGATAGCTTTGTGAGAAGTTGAGGCCTGTAACAGACTCTGAAGGGTGCTTTAGATTTGTGTTATTGCATTAAAGATATCAGGGAAGCATTTCAGGTCTTACAGACCACAGAATTTTTAAAGTATCTGAAGGATATCTTGTTTTTAAAAGTGCCATATATCAAAATCAAAATAGCTGTTTAGCTTCATACATTTTCTGAACCCTTTTCTTCTTAATCATATGCTGACTTTACAACATAAGATATACTTGTTTAAAAGAGTTTAGGAAGATACAAGTGAGTGAATTGCAGTTGTATTAAGATAAAATCAGGCAGCCATTTTCTCAGGTGCACAGGTCACATGACCATATTCAGAACCAACGATGGAAAAGAAATAAAAGGGAAGGATGAGGCAAAAAGAGACTAGCTCTGAAGATATCTGGTTTTTTGATGAAAGTAGAATGGAATTATCATTTTGGAGATATTGACAGGTTTAGAAATATTAGATGGTAATGGAAATGTCCATAAGCTAATAACCATGTAACAAGGATGGTTTTCCACAGCAAACAGAACCTTCTCTGTGTGTTAAGTGAGAATCATGCCAGGCTCTCTGTCCTCAAAATGTCACTGTTGATAAGGTCTAAACACTAAGTAAAACTATGATTATGCAAGTCTCTTCACTGATACTGTTGGGAAGAAGTTACTGATTTACGTATGACTTACCCACATTGAGAAATAAGAGCTCTTAAGTCTGAAAGTCATTCTGTTGTTGTAGATTCAGAGATGATTTATAGTGTGTACTTTGCATCATTTTGAGGGAGCTGTCTTTTGTATTTCATATCATCCAAATTCCTTCCATGTTATTACCTTGATGTTTATCACAGATTGGATTTCCAATGAATAGAGCTGCTCTATCACCAAGGCCCTTTCCCAGATTCTGAGGACTTCATAAGGATGTGGTTTAAATCACCCAGGAAAATGGATCTTAATTTCTTGATGTTATTTAAAGTTTTAGTTTTAGAATTTATTATTTAAAGCAATTACTTTTGTAGGCTAAGCTAGTCTATATAGGAAAATAAAACTATTGTTCCTACAAAGGAACAATCATATGATTGAAGGTAGTTTTGCTAAGCAAAATAAATGTGCTCTCTTATATCTAATTTTTCAAAAGAAGTTCAAATAAGACTTAAAATTTTGTAGAATACTCATTGTAGATTATTAAAGGAAGGTAGAGGTATTACAATTGTTTGTCCTCATGGATGGCAATTATTTTCCTTCTTGAACCCGACATGTTCCTGCAGATCATTTTAGAAATAATCAGGTCTGTAGCTCAACATTAAATGTGCATACTCTCTCTACAACAAAATTAGAGATAAGAGCAAAACAGTTTCTGCTGGGTATTGGGGGGGGAGCGGGAGGGGGTGGAGTGGGTGGTAAGGGAGGGGGTGGGGGCAGGGGGGAGAAATGAACCAAGCCTTGTATGCACATATGAATAATAAAAGAAAAATGAAAAAAATAAATGTGTAACATATGATGTCCATTGTCTTGGGGACTATGAATGCATAAAAGAAATTACAGATGACAGATACATGAACCAGAATCACTTCTCCGAGTGATTACTCGGAGAAGTGTGTACAAGGTGATTTGAGCATTTATATGGAAAAGGGGAAAGATTCAGAGACAGCTTCATATGAAAAATCTTCATAGGTGAAGTATCTGCATTGAAAAATCTTCATAGGTGAAGTATCTGCATTGAATAAGAGTTTTCTAGGTAGAGGAATGAAAGGAATATCCAGAAGAGAAAAAGAACTCCTGGTATTGAGGTATATATGTATTTTAGGCTGAATGGGCCTGAAAATGTCAGAGAGGGGTGGAAAGATGGAGATAGGCAAAAGATGAAATTAAAATGGTAGCTTTTTGATCCAGGTAATGTTAACTTAGTGTTTTTCATAGTGGTCTGGATTATCTGCATGCCAAACCCAACAAAGGGTGGGAGGAGTCTATTAAAATGCAGAATTCGGAGCTAACTACAGATCTCTTGAGTCAGGATTATAGGAAGTAGATTCTTGGAATCTGTAATTAACTACCCACCCCCCCAACACATACCTGGTGATTCATTTTCACACTTAAGTTTCAGAATCTCTGCACGGCAACAAAACTGACTCATCTCCGTTCTTGGAA